CTTAATGCAGGTAACATGTGGTATGCCGATTACAATGACGAGGGCATAAAAATCAATCAATTATTGTGCCATCTATCCATCGAGACGCCTCGAATCAATTTCTGCTCTCTTTAGCCAGGGACTATTCTTTAGGACTTTAGATAATTAAAACAGGCGCAGAAACAAGAGCACCCATCAAGAAAAAGAATGCTCTTTTTCAGCACACCAAAGTTCAGTATCACGAAACCGTTTATCGGGAGATCATTAAGAGGGGTGCAGCACTTCTAGATCCCGCGATGCTGTAAACCATAAGGGACGCCTTGATGAATTCACAGTGGCACAAAAAGTCGCAACTGAAGCATTTATGAAGGAACCGGGCCACGGAGTCAGTCTTGCAACCAAACGACTGTCGCATTCATACTCTGGAAACGGTCTTTCGCGATGCATAAAGCTGGCATGGATCGACTTCTATATCGTACGAAGGTCTTGGACGACTTCTGCAAGAGATATAATCTAGAATGTGGAATTTTGCTGGAAGAAACGCCTCGCGGCTGGGAAGAACAACTGGAGTTCATTCGATATGGTATGATACTAGAATACTTGAAAACGTTCAACGGCGATTGTAATATTGAAATAGTAAATCAAGATACTGATAATTTCAACACGTCGCTGCAGCAAATAGTATGATACCCCAGAAACAACTAGCTATGGAATTTCTCTGGTTAGGCCCCCGTAGGATGCTCAGCACCAACACTGTCGGGATATATGCTTCTGTTAGAACAACCCAGCTGTATGCCAGGCTACGGCTCGGTTCTTGTGACCGCCCAGGGCCGGCGTGTAAGATCAAGGGGGTATTTTCGAACTAGATTGAACAGGAACAACTATCTATATTATATGAATCAATTGAGTTTTGCTTTAGAAGTATAACACTGTTCACGTCGCTGTGTACACAGCACCTAGCTGGTGGTTCCAACAAACACATTCTTCGAATTCGATTAACAACTTGGTTTTACCTAAGGTGAATGCTTAAAACTCTGTCTTGTTTCCGGCATGACTTTCTGCAGGATGAAGATAGACTAGTTACTGTGCTTTTGTGATAGAGCGGTATCCAGGTTCTTTGATTTTTTAGGAGTTGGTGCCAGAAGCATCGCAGCGCAGGCAGCCTGACAAGTTCCAAAGGCTGCACTGCAGGCTATTATAGATGCTGGTGCAGAGGCTCCAATAGTTGCTCCCCAAGTAAAGCCTGCTGCTGCTGTTACTACAGCAGCACAACCGGCTTGACAAATGCCGTAGGCTGCAGGTCCTGCATTGACACCACGTCACACATGGTGAGAGCACAAACAGCCAGATAAAGTGTCTTCATAGTATAGCTGTTGTCAAGTTATACTGTAGTGATAGAAATTAGCAGAAACAATCTCCAGTCATGAAGCATGCAATCATTAAAATAATTAGTGGGGAGATTTTGTGAGATATTTTTGATCATTTACGGGAACATCAAAAAAGGATAAGATTCAAGTACTTTAAGATACCCTGCTTCCTGTGCAGGTGCTTCCTCAAACCCCAAATGTGCACCCCAATATGACATCACTGAAACTGAGTTGAAACTTAAAGATGCCAAATCAAGTAGCTCCTTGTCGTACTCTTTTTGAAGAGAAAAAGGGTCAAAGCACTTACTAGCTTTGTCCAGGCACAGTAATAACGACTTACGATCGCGAATAGGCATATTAGTGTTACACGGCTGAGCGAGGCGGAGTAAAATCTTACAGCTTAAGAATATTTTTTGTATGACAATCTGGAGAGCGAGATGTGATGATGTCAACCGAGTTGAGATGCTATCCGATAAAACGAGTGATAAAAATTGCCGGAGCTTCTCTGGTTCGCCCGACCGGCCTTTCTATTTGAATACTTTAGATTTTCATTGGAAGGAAAAAGAAGTTCTTCCTAAGAGGGTCCTTGACCTCGTCTCCGTACAGCTTCGACTGTCTGGGGGTCAAATTCATGAGCCGGAGGAGACTATTAACCTCATTCTCAACCATGTTGATATGTGGGCCACGACTGACGGATAACCAATTACCAAGTCCCTTGTCCGAACAGTTATTTCAGCCCGTGTATAGGTAGGCGGAAGGCTACTCCAAAATCCATATGTCGTATAAGGAATTCAGCTGTTACTGGACAGTTGAGCGTGAGTTGTCACAGAATCACTGCAAATCAATCTATCAAGTGGTGCACGGTGGCGCTGCTTTGTTCTTTCCTTGATCCTCGAGTTGATCCTCGGTGTTGAGCAGCCAGAAGAGGGCTTGGATGGAGGGAGTTCACTAAACTGATATCAGATAGAAATGTTGATCAAGAAAGAAAAAGCGCGATTTCATTACCAAATAGGAAGTTACTACCCAGGGAAGGAAAACAAGGCTCCACCCGGAAATCATGCGTTTCTCCACAGTGTCTGGTCGGACGCGACCCGCATTGGCAGCCGAGCAGATCCATATTGAAAGTTATGGATTCGGAATTTGGCTTATTGTCATAGGGTGGCAGCATCTCAGTAAAAGAACCATTCATTGTCGCAGCTTAGATAATATATACCGCATAACTAACTAACTCCTAAGTCACTGCAGCATTGAGTGCTTCAGACGGAATAATAATAAAATCAGCAAAATAAGCTTTATTCTGGACAATCAAAAAAGGCTCAGTCTTTGAATAACATGATTAACCGTATTAGCGTCCCCATTTGAATCTAACAAAACAGCACAGATAGTTGCCTCTATGGTAGAAGCGAGCGTGCCATCTGGTTACCCCCCCCTGAATTCGATATATCGTGAAGAAAATATTTTTCCAGACGAAGTTCCCTTCCCTTGGAGCTTAGCGTCTTATTACACGCGTGTTGCCGTACGAACTTTTTCTCCATTCTCTGTATTAGAATTAATTTCGGGCTTTTTGATGCAGGACGGCGTACTTTCCTGTACTTGTCCCAGTGTTATACCAGTTGCTCAAAATCATCATTGAGGGAACTGCGTCTTCAAGCAAAGCGAGACGTTTGTTGCCAAGTGGATCTGCTTGAGTATTGGGATTTGAGACCGTTGATCCAGCTGACTTTAGTGTATCCTCTCGCAGGCTGTGTGTTCTGAAGCTATAGTCGATCTTTTGAAACTCATCTTCAAGCGCCTGTCTGTCGTTCATGCTTGACTTGAATTGATTTGCTCAATAGGGGGGAATTTTTGAAGAGTTGCAAATGCTATCAAGAGACTTTTCCTTATTAATATATTCTGAGATATTCAAACGTTCCTATGTGCTACGGGCAGCCAGTAAAAATCTCTCATTATGTTCAGTCGGTCTCTTTGTACATCTGCACGGTCATCCTGCCCCGTAACACAGCATCTCTCAGCTACCGGCCTCGACCGCTCACCTGACGGGGGAACCTCGCAGAATGGTTGTTGGGCGGTCAGTATCGGGTCTTCTGGTCACGGCATGGCCCACTCACAAATCGTCAGGAATACAAACACAAGTTCTCCAAAGGGAAGGTTGAATAGGCCTTGCTCGTTTGCAGGGCGAAAAGAATACGAACTTCCAAGGTACACACATACTGAATGAAAGCCACATTCATGTAGTGGATTCATCAATTCATGTTCCTTATGGCGTAAGCGAAGATAGGCATGGTGATTACCTCAAGCGCCAGCAACACAACGGGAATGTGGAAATTTTGAAAATCCATTTTAGGGCAGGCCAGCAGTGTAATGGGCTTATAACACAACCTACCCAGGAGACGTTTACTACTTTACAATTTTTCTCAAACACGATTGCAGAAAAGATACAAGGTATGGATGTGGTACAAGGCACACCAGGATGTTTTCTGCTCTTGTCTAGGAATATTCAAAATTAACACGTTATAGTAGTTGGATTGTGTTGATGATAACTAAATGAAATCAACTTCATGATCCACCCCTTGCATATTCTGATTGCTGGATGGATCAGGAATGCTGTACAGCTAACATTACGGTCATGTTATCTAGGCGACCGAATTCGCCGAAATTATCCAAGCAATGTGACGGAATAGTCGTGTGAGCATTTATGTTGGTTCTTCATAACTGTGGCTTTCATACAGGACGCGCGTACTTCACCTTGGGGTTCTGGACCAAAGTACCTAGTCTGAGATTAACACGGGGGTTAGTTTCTCTCCATTCTTTTGCACAGTAATGGTTGTCATGAATGCAGCTCCCTCGATGGCAGATGGTATAATAAGACTCTGGGGCTAGTATAAAGAACCAAGGAAACCAGAGATCTTTGTCCACGATACCATTATTCTTGACATTTCTCTTTGGGCACATCATGGCTATTCATGCTATTAAAGACAACCAGGCGCTTGCAGACCCACATTTGCTAGAAAAAATTGACAAACTTTTCGCATGCAATGTGGGCGACTATACCAATCTGCCTCAGCTGGTTGTGGTCGGAGATCAATCGAGTGGGAAGAGCTCAGTTCTTGAAGGGCTTACTAGGCTGGCTTTCCCCCGAGATAGCGGTCTGTGTACACGATTTGCCACACAAATTATATTTCGTCGGACCGAGGACGATGAAAGAAGAATTACCGCATCCATCATTCCTTGATCCGATGTGGAAAGTACACATGCGTCCCAGCTGAAAAACTGGAAGGCAGATAATATACAGTCCCTGACTGTAGAATCGTTCTCAAGAACTATGGCAGAAGTAAGTCAACACTTTTGCGGAAATGCCTATCTAATACCGACTCTTAGGTTCACACGGTGATGGGGCTCTCGGTATCGAAAGACGACGGTTTGCCTACCTTCTCAGGTAGCGTCTTGAGACTAGAGATTTGCGGTTCAAAGGAGGATCATCTCAGTGTGATCGATGTGCCTGGTATCTTCCGGAACACGACACCAGGATTGACGACAAGAAATGATAAGATTTTGGTCCGAGACATGGTTCAGGGATATATGAGGAACCCTCGGTCGATAATGCTGACAGTTGTACCAGCAAATGTTGATATTGCTACTCAAGAAATTGTTGAAATGGCTCGTGAGTTTGATCCAGATGGTGATAGGACACTTGGCGTTATCACCAAGCCAGATCTAGTCGACAAAGGCGGAGAGGGTAAAGTCATTGACCTTGTTGAGGGGAGAGAGATACAGATGAAGCTGGGATGGATTATCGTAAGAAACCTAGGACAAAAAGAGCTCGAAGAAGGCGATGTGGATCGGAATGTACTGGAAGCTGAGCTTCTTTCCCAACGCCCCTGGGATACCGTCCCGCGAGACAAGTTTGGTATCAAAGCGTTGCGTACTCACCTTCAGAAGACGGTAACTGCAAACGCACGACGATCTTTTCCATCTGTCCGTACATCCGGAGCCATTGCTATTATTCTACAGCTGACAAATGGATATTAGGTACGATCTGCGATAAGCAAGAAACTACGAGAATGTCAAGATGCTCTGCAGGCTCTTGGAGCAGACCGAGAAACCCCGGAGCAGCAAGCCAGTTTCCTATTTGGAATAGTATCATCGTTCCAGGAAATCACGTCTCATGCGCTCGGCTCAAATTATAGCATCCGGGATGATTTTGATCAAGATGAGATTCTTCGTCTGGCCACCAGAGTTGTCAATAGGAATGAGATGTTCTCCGACAACATGGCTCGATGGGGCCACGAGTATGAATTTGAGACCGACGACTCTCAGGAATTGAACGATTTTAGAGTTAATAACTCCATCGATAATCCCACAGGAGGCTCTTTGGCGACACGAATGCTTGAGGATATATCTGGGATCGAGGACATTCTTCCGCAGACAGTCGAAGTTGCACAGCCCGTTCGCAATGACATACGCTCATGGATAGAACGTCAATACCGAACTTCACGAGGATTCGAGATTGGAACCTTCAACTCTGCGCTTCTCCCGACTATTATGAAAAAGCAGTCAACAAAATGGACATCCATCGCGACTGGGTATATTGGTGATATTATCACCATCGTTCATGGGTTTATTCTCAGGGCATTGAATTTAGCCTGCGCTGACACCAGGGTATGTCACAACCTGCTGTCGAGGATCATGGATAAGCTGCTAGGGAAATACCAGAACGCAATCAGCCAAGTGCAATTCCTTCTGTTCAATGAGTGCTCAAGTACGCCAATGACATTGAATCATTATCTGAATGACACTCTAGAGAAAAGGTATCGTCGTTCCGACCCTTTATCACTCATGACATATCTAACTTCGCACAGTCGACAGAAACGCACGAGCTCCGTGATAGAGCAAAAGGCGATTAGCGGCTGCTCGCACGGAAATGTAGTGCGAGTGGAGGATCTGAGGCCTTCAAAAAATATAAGCAACACCGCACACACCGTACAGGATCTTCATGACATCCTCCAGTCCTATTATAAAGTGGCTCGGAAGCGGTTTGTCGACAATGTATGTATGCAGGCCGCAGGTTATTATTTAGTGAATGGACCGGAAACCCCGATGAGATTGTTGTCTCCTTCCTTCGTCAACAGTCTCACTGAAGACGAGCTTGAGGAGATTGCAGGAGAGGAAGCATCGCTTCAGCGAAAACGGCGTCAGTTATTGAAAAAGATCAAAGATCTTCAGGTGGCAAAGAAAATCCTGCTTTGAATGATTGTCATAGAACCCAGAACAACTCAATTGGTTGTAGTAATTCCAGAATACTTGCAGAGAAGTGCTTCATCTAAGTATTTTCAAGTCATATTTGAGTTTCGTTCAGAATTCATCCGATTCGTAAGACGATAGCGAACGCAGAAAATAAATCAGGGCAACGAAACATCCAGACTATCACCTACTCAGCTACAGAGCTAAAGGCACGCCTCCGCCTCCAATGGATCCCGGGGCATTGTGGTGACCCTGGCAATGAAGCAGCGGACCGACTGGCTAAGGAGGCGGTTGGTCACAACAAGAAGCACCCTTTTCAACATCTTCCCTCGCGAGAAAAATGTTTCATCCGCAATGTAATCCGGAAAAAGTGGGAAGACTAATGGAGAAGTCCCTAAAAGGCGGCCATCTCCGCCGGATAGATAAGGATCTACCCTCAATCCACACTCGCAAGCTCTGTGGCTCGCTGCAACGGAATCGAGCCTACCTGCTAACCCAACTCCGGACGGGCCACTCATGGCTATTCACACACGCCAAACTCCACCGCTTCTGGGATGATGGCAGATGTGAATGTGGAGCAGCAGAAACCGTCGTCCATATAATAGACTGCCCAAAATTGGATAGTCTACGCCAGACACTGCGGAGGAAGATTGGGGAATGCATTTAACGATATATCAGTTATGCTGGGAGGAAGAGGTCAAGGCAAGCAAGGTAAGCAGGATGATATGCATGACGGTAGCGTTTTAGGCGCTGTACTAGACTTCGCAGAAGCATCGCAGAGGTTTCAAAGCCGCGTGCCGTCGGGCCGCAGAACTTAACACCAAGCATGTAGGCCACCAGATGCCGTGACGAGGTACTAAATTCGCTGGGAAGTAATGGTTCATGTACTTAGAAATATATATAAGGACTAGATAGTCGGATCCTGCATATCGCCCGGGCGAGGGGTCAACGTATGAATTCACCACCACGACTGTATCGAGTAATCTGCCCTTTATGCCTTAGACTAATCATCAAAGAAATACCTTCATCACATTTTAGGGAATACTCAAAAGCTCTTCGAAACAACTGCCTCTGCTGCGCTGCTGGCATCGGAAATGGGCACTGCTGGAGCGGCGGTCTCAGATTGGTCGTTTTTTAAGGGCCATTCTAAACGAAGTTATAGTGTCAGATATTGAAAATGGCAAACTAAAATACCTAAGCCGTCCAACCCTAAAAAGCTCTTTCATAAACGATCAGGGAGCCCGCGGAAAAAGGGAGACACGTGCCGCGATTAGAACTTCCCAGTGAGATATATATATCTATCCATTCAACAGATACTCGAAGGCTTGAAAGTCGTTCATACTGCCTCTTGTGAAATTTCAATCTAGAATGATGGCAACACTGTTCACAATATTTATTGGGCTACTGCATGCTGCTACTAGTAGCGTTGCAGATGTCTCACTATCTACAAATCCTGCATCTATCGCACAGCCTAGTCTGGCCGTGAATGAAAGAGGTTTTATCTCTGCCGCATACTTTACAAATTGGGTAGTTACCTACACTTTTTACTGATTCTTCCAATTCACCCGAACCCGACCAGCTAATAAAAACAGGCAATCTATGCCCGTGGTCATACCCCTCAAGATATGCCTATCGATAAGCTCACACACGTTTTCTATGCCTTTGCCAATATACGCTCTGATGGGCAAGTCTATCTTACAGACGAATGGGCCGATGTTCAAAAGCACTTCGAGGCGGACTCATGGAATGAGTCGAATGCTACAGCAAGAGCATACGGGTGTATTAACCAAATCAACAAGATGAAGAAAAGCAACCGCAATTTGAAAGCTCTTCTTTCTATTGGAGGATGGACATACTCCGCCAACTTTGAAGGTCCGGCTAGCTCCACTACTGGACGCAGAAGGCTTGCAAAGTCCGCTATAAAACTGATGCAGGACATTGGTTTTGATGGCATCGACATTGACTGGGAGGTATGAATTTATGTTCTTTTTATTTCTTTGTTTTGTGAGCTGATAATATACAGTACCCTACCGATGATAATCAGGCACGTAACCTGGTATCTCTCCTCCAGGAGCTACGTTCGGTACGGATGTAAGCTATTTTTGATAGTAAAATCCCTGACACTTAACCTAGGAGCTTGAGAGCCGCAGTAACTCTGATACTACCTATCTTTTAACCGTTGCCTCGCCTGCGGGCCCATCTAAATACTCTCTGCTTCATCTTGCCGCCATGGACCAATACCTGGATTATTGGAATCTGATGGCCTATGACTACGCCGGATCATGGGATCAGATCTCTGGTCATAGTGCAAACCTATATCAGTCATCTGAGTATCCCCACGCTACTCCATTCAATACGGATGAGGCGGTATCTGCATATATCAAAGCAGGTGTCCCGGCTCATAAAATTGTCTTGGGGATGCCACTGTACGGGCGCGCATTCGGTGGTACTGACGGGCCAGGGACCCGCTTTTCATCCATTCCTGCTGGTCATTGGGAGCGTGGCGTTTATGATTATAAAGACCTACCCTTTGCTGGCGCTGAAATTAGGGAAGATCTAAATTTGGGCGCAAGCTGGAGCTATGATTCTGCTCGGCACATAATGGTGAGCTACGATACTCCGAACATTGTCAAAATGAAAGCAAAATATATTCAGTCTAAAGGGCTGGGTGGAGGGTTCTTTTGGGAGACCAGTGGTGACCGGTCTGGGGAGGGAAGTTTGATCTCAACAGTGAGTTCTCTTACTTTCCTCTACCTCAAGAAATGTTACTACGGAGCGGGCAGCTGATTGTTGAATTTACAGCTTGTGGATTCATTTGGCGGCCTATGTGCCTTGCAAGAATCACAGAATCACATTCAATACCCAGATTCCAAATATGACAATATTCGTAAATAGGTGTTTCCGAGTGAGTTAGTTTCGCTCAAGACGTTCTTTAAAAATTGACAAATCCTCAAACAAACAGAATCTGTCCTGTCCATGGTAGTATACTTAGTTGCGAAACCAATGTCACTCCTAGTATAGTCTCTTTTGTTCTCCATAACTCCGATTCCGTACGAAGAGGGTACGCCGGATAAAAGACTTGGCAAATAGACATTATTGGCCTACGATGCAAACCTTACTATTTACGGTCTAGTCTCTACTCGATAAAATAAAGAGAAGTGTCCGGAGGGGTGGCATTGGTTTCGACTTCGGGTGTACGTTGTTCTGTAGTATCTGCTCGAAACCCATATTCCATTTTCTTCGTTTAGACAAAGTATTCAGGTCACTGTGACTGAGCTATTAATGATCAGCATGAGCTCCGCTGAATTGGTAAACAGCTACAAGGTTAACAATTCTAACATACTGCGAGAGGTAACTATATTTCATACTCTAGTAACGATCTTATAAACTCGTGGCTCGGATTAGAAACCAGGGCCGCCTAGTAAAATGTCACCGATAGTTACCATAAGAAAGAATGACCCTGAGATCGGTACTACTAGCCGCCCACTGACCCACGCCCGACTTCGTGGCAATATAGTGAATAGCAGTATTATATCTAGCTTTGGTATACCACTTGTGCCTGAACCCAGTCTCGAAAGCTTTCTAAAAATTCAAGATTAGTTTGTTGTTATTAAATAAGATTAGGACATTGGCGAGGAAGACAGAAGAGCCGGTTACGCTAGCCGTTACTGTTGCAGTTACTGACCATAAACCACCTTATTGAATGTACATATTGATAATTCGATCACCAAACTAATCAAGACTGGTCTTTCACAGCTCTTGTTATTTTCGCAAAAGACCACCCTGTACAGGACTTTCACAAGAATATTTTTCGAGCAAGCTAAATGTAATTATCTCTTCTGCAGTAGTGAATCAGGGCTATACCGTAGAGGCCTACCACACAAGATACGGCAGCAATTGCGAGAAGGGAAGCATTTTGTACAGCATAGAAGATCAATTCACAGATATCACTCGTTGCACTAGTATTAATGTACCCGGAAATACAGAATATCCGGCCAAGAGAGCCTAGGAAAATACAGCAGCCAAGATATTTTCAAGCGTTTGGAATATCTCTAAATCAATAAGCATTTCCACATAAAGAGCAGGGGAGATAGGTCCTTCAATCAGGGGCCTTTTTCCAAAGAAGCAGCAGTTATGCAGTCGCCACATATTGCTATAAATAAACTGCTGTATACAGTAAGCAGGATACTAACTAGTAGAAGAAGGAAATTTTGGCGTTATACACTCTGAAGATTCTGTCAGTAGGCCCCATATTAAATACTTTATGTGGTAGACTAGACAAGAAGTAACCTCTAAGTCTGCACCAATCACATGAAAAATGAGGAGCGCCCTGGGTTCTGAGGTATAGCATCGATAACAACCAAGGTCTTAGTGGATCAATGGACTCTCATCTAGCATTAATATCCCAGAAATTCAATTTCAGGACACCCCGTCTCCTGAAACAAAGGCACTCGGAGCCCTTCAGTTCGCTCGTCATCGTCAGACCTCAAGCTCACATTTCATGTTGAGTTTTGCATCACAATAGTGTTTGTTACTAGAAGATATTAGTTTAAGATATTCAGCTAAGGAAGTTAGCCAACTTACTTCCAGTCTTCCGAAGAATGCATATCCGCAAAAGGGTGCTCGGTGTCGGACAATGTTCCGGTAAGAAGAAAGTAACCGCAGTCACTGACTCCCATCCCTCCCATAGTCCAATCATGGTCTCTGGGACATGAAGGCTGTCCTGATAGTATTGAATGAAATACATGACGACATAATACAGGAGAAAATATAATTTCACAGTCATTATGAGCAGCCGCGGCAAATATCAATTTCACGTCCTTGCCTTCTCTCGACTGGCTTGATTCTTCATAGTGGAAGTCAGAATACTGCTTAAAATACTCTCCCGTTGACCGACTTAGAGAAATAGCTCTGTCAAAGTCACAAGCTCTATCTATCGCAGAGCTAGCATCTGCTGCCTTGAATGTAGAGCCCCAAGGTTTGACCTGCCGCGAGGAAGGGACTTTGGTGGCGCAGAGTATACTCGTGAGGGATGCCGTGTGAGGATCCAGTTCCTTGGTAGGTTCGGCAGATGATGTCGCTGGAAGTGATCGAGACAGGTCTCCAGAGAAAGCAGAGCCTATTGCTGATCCTGTAGATACATATGTAGGAACTGAGGAATCAGAGATCTTTGATGAAACTGTTGAGTGTAGAGTTGTATCTATTCTTTCTGTAGGGACGGAAGAAAATACGTGTGACGTCTTAATCGGGCTCACTGACAATGTTGAAACTGTACTCATGTGGTGATTGCCTAAAGCACAGGCCAGATATGTTGATCTACCTTGACTGATGGTGCTGACATCGTATTGTGTCTCCCCGCACGTACAAAAGCTATGTATGCCGGTGGGAAGAATATCGGTGCCGTGAGCGGAAATACTGTCAGGTTCCGCTATTAGTAGTCTGGCTGATACATAGTACTGTAGCTCGGTTGAACTCACGATGTGATATGACAGTTTTGCGGGACAGAAGGGCTAGGCAGACTAACTCTATCCGGAGCATTACATTTCATTTTCGTGTCCGCAGCTGGGACACAAAGGGCCATCGGTAATAATATGCAGATAAGGTAGCAAATAAGGGACTCCATGGTAATGACAGTGGCGTAGATAAAATCATTAGTATATCATCAAGTATGTGGTGTTGGGTAGGGTGTTTATATAGACTTTCAAGACCGCAGTCAGTTTATGTCATCAATGCGGCCGCGTTAGAGCGATTTTGCCTATGCCTAGTAATGAAGTTATTAGAAATCCGATTGCGCGATATTTTCACCTCAAACCTATGTCAGCAAGATGTTACAGTAGTTCCGACAAACGGTGTCACCACCTATACTCTTTCATTGTTCCCCAAATCCTAATGGCAAGATACACTAAACCTTCTCTAAAGAGTAGAAGAAGTAACAATTTTCCGGTTTCCGGTGTACTGACGTCTTTGTTCGCGACCACAAATCACCCGGCAGGGATAGATCATAGCGCACTGGCGAGTTTTTCCATACACAAAAGCTTGGAAATTGACCTTCATCTCGCTCAAGGTAGCTACAAAAAAAGGATAAACATGATGCTCTTCAGTTCCAGTATACTATGCTAGTCTCTACAATATACTGGGATTTATCATGTACGGATCTTAGGATTGACTTGGAAATTGTCCGCTGCGGCTTTCATGCAACTGCGGATAGTCTTGATTGTGCACCCGTCAAATGTGATCCAGGGGACAAAAACTGCCCCGAAGTTTACCACAACGCAGTCTGTGGCTGTCCTGCCAATGTCAGTATCATGTTAGATATCGGCAAATAAATTTGAAGCCCCTGGTATGCATGTTACAGCCCTTTCGGGAAACGATGTCACCACATACACTCTTTCGTTCCTTTCCAGGGCCCAATCCCAGAATAGGACGCCCCACAGCTGGACGAGTGGGTGTTCTACTCTAAATTTGAGTGGACGGCTGTCACCAGTGCTTAGCTACAAGTATAGGGAAGTGCAAATCCAGCTTCACCGCCTCACACTCTCTTCTTCATTCCCAGCTCCACTGCCAAGGCGCTAGTAAGAGAAAATGGGACTTTCCTAAAGCTTATCCAATTATAGACTAGTGTGACCATGTCGATGTTCAGGAAAGCCTAGGTAGGGAATTGTGGGCTGGAGAATACGTCTGACTCAGCAGCTCCAACCTTCGATTCGCCACCTTAGTAGAACTAGAAACGAGAAGTATGTTCGTGAAAAACACACCGCTAAATAAATTCTGTCCATCTCCCAGGCCCTACATTTGTAAAGATACTTGAAAATATAGGGATTAAGAAAACCAAAAATTTATTGATATTGGTTATTGCGGGAATCCTAAAAAGGAAATGCGACCTGACGGATGTCCTAAGGCGAGTATGTTCGATTTTGCCGCTGAACAAGAATGCCTAGCTTCGGGAGGGAGCCATAGGACTTGTTGCCCATTAACAGCTATCCATTCTCCCTGTAGAGATATCCGTGGGCCCATATTGGGTGAACTAGGGGTAGAGTGGCCGCAGCTGGACTGAATCTTGAACGACCCTAGGTTAGTGGCGAGATAGGAGCTGTCTTGCGAAAATTCGACCATCGTGACAATACCATCAGTGCTCACCATTTCCTTCAGAGCACCCGTGGCCGGATCCCAGAGCCGTACTGTCTTATCAATCGAGCCAGACGCCAGCAGCCGGCCATCAGGTGAGAAGGCCACTGATAGAACCCAACTTGTATGGCCCTCAAGTATCTGCTGCAGAGCCCCCGTGGCTGAATCCCAGAGCCGTACTGGCTCACTGAATGATATAGACACCAGCAGCTGTCCATCGGGCGAGAAGGCTACGGTATCAACTGAACTTATATGGCCCTCGAGTGTCCGCTGCAGAGCGCCTGTGGCCGGATCCCAGAGCCGTACTGTCTTGTCATCTGAGCCAGACGCCAGTAGCCGGCCATCGGGTGAGAAGGCCACAGTTTGAACCCAACTTGTATGGCCCTCAAGGGTCTGCTGGAGAGCGCCTGTGGCTGGATCCCAGAGCCGTACTATGTTATCAACTGAGCCAGACGCCAGCAGCCGGCCATCAGGTGAGAAGTCCACCGTTAGAACCCAACTTTTATGGCCCTCGAGTGTCCGCTGCAGAGCGTCTGTGGCCAGATCCCAGAGCCGTAGTGTTTCATCGTTTGAGCCAGACGCCAGCAGCCTTCCATCGGGCGAGAAGGCCACGGTATTAATTGAACTTGTATGGCCCTCGAGGGTCTGCTGGAGAGCGCCCGTGGCTAGGTTCCAGAGCCGTACTATGTTATCGACCGAGCCAGACGCCAGCAGCCGGCCATCGGGTGAGAAGGCCACCGTTAGAACCCAACTTGTATGGCCCTCGAGTGTCCGCTGCAGAGCGCCTGTGGCCGGATCCCAGAGCCGTAGTGTTTCATCGTGCGAGCCAGACGCCAGCAGCCGGCCATCGGGTGAGAAGGCCACAGTTTGAACCCAACTTGTATGGCCCTCAAGGGTCTGCTGGAGAGCGCCCGTGGCCGGATCCCAGAGCCGTAGTGTTTCATCGTGCGAGCCAGACGCCAGCAGCCGGCCATCGGGTGAGAAGGCCACAGTTTGAACCCAACTTGTATGGCCCTCGAGGGTCTGCTGGAGAGCGCCCGTGGCTAGATCCCAAAGCTGTATTGTCTTATCACCCGAGCCAGACGCCAGCAGCCGGCCATCGGGTGAGAAGGCCACGGTGTGAATTGAACTTGTATAGCCCTCAAGGGTCTGCTGGAGAGCACCCGTGGCCAGATCCCAGAGCCGTACTGTCTTATCACCCGAGCCAGACGCCAGCAGCCGGCCATCGGGTGAGAAGGCCACAGTTTGAACCCAACTTGTATGGCCCTCAAGGGTCTGCTGGAGAGCGCCCGTGGCTGGATCCCAGAGCTGTATTGTCTTATCACCCGAGCCAGACGCCAGCAGCCGGCCATCGGGTGAGAAGGCCACGGCGGAAATTGAACTTCTATGGCCCTCGAGTGCCTGCAATTCTGCACCCCAGGTTTCCAGAGCTTGTGGGAAGCGGCAGATCCAATCAGGAAGCTCTGATTGGAACTGCTCTCGAACTATTGCCGTTCGAGGTGCAAATACCAGCCCTGCATAATAAATTTGAAGTGGCACTTCATCGGCTATTTGTCGATTTTTCAGAACAAACCGCTTTGCATCATGTAGAAAGGCGGCTATACTAGAACTGTCATAGTCCTATCCATATTAGTATAACTCGTGGATACCCGTCTGCCGTATGCTTACTGTCACCATCGTTCGGAGAATGTCGAGCGTACCCATCATTTCTGACATAAGACCCAGCAGGCTCATCGCTTCCATCCAGTGAAGAAAATGTTTCTGGAGGAACAACCCTACCTCTTCTATGTCAGAAGACAAAACGTGGCTATTTTTCAGATGATGTATCCAATAGCGACAGGAGTATTGCAACTCAGATGGTAGATATTGGTGGATATCCAGAGAGTCGATCTCTGCCCTACACACTCCAGGTTGTGCTAAATTGCAGATATCTCTCCGCAGAAGGCGCCGCATCATTCTCAGACAGGATTTTGCAATGTCTTTATGTTTGCTTGGCGCATCCACACGAAACTTGGTTGTAGTCTGGAACAAAAATTCGGGAAATGAGAGATGGAGAATCCTAACAGGCTGATTTTCGTCGCTGGGGATGCTAAGGACCGACCGAAACGAATCCAATCGATTGCTGATCTGGTCCACTTCTATCTCAAGAAACGCAGATAGTGTGTTTATAGAAAGCGGAACAGCAAGAAGGGTGATAACTCCCACAATATCCTGAAACTCTTGTAGAAGTTGCCGTTGTTCCATCTCATCACTCTCTTGGTCGTCGAGGAGTCGCGTCAGAATTGGTAGGTATGTCTTGTCCATTTTGGACACATATTTGGTTTGGTTCGTGAGAAGCTCTGCGAGACGTAACTTAGGTTCCCATTTTAGATTCTCGATGTAGTGACACACCGTGGCAGCCGAAATAAACAGTGGGACAGATACCCTAACTAACTGTTGGATGATATCGTCGCCAGGCCAGCCCTGAGGGACTTTTCTGACATACTGGATTTTCATAAATCGATCTCGTAGGAATAACTGTATGTCGTGTTCTGTCACCTCCTCAGGTATGTCATGAAGGGCCAGGTCCTGATATACATGGTTCCCGATTTCTGAAAACCCAAGGCTGATGGGGAGCTCTGGTCTACTGGTTAGGAAGACCCGAATGCAGAGTGATTTTACCTCCTGCAGACGAGGGAGCAATTGAATAATGTTTTGAACATCTTTGTCATGCTCACATTCGTCCAAGGCATCTATGACAATCACGGTATTCTGGGGTAGTTGATCGCGTTGGTCAAGACCGAGCAACGGTTGAAGGAGTAGCTTCTCAAATTGCTCCCTGAGTGATTTTGACGCGATGTCAGGGTCGTTTTCAAGTGTCTTTTGCACGCCAGGTCGTAACTCTGGCTTCCACAGTATCAGTTGCTTGGTCAACGTCGGGAAAAACCTCCTTGCATTCCCTCGGTCCGCCTCGCCTCTCTTAAAGAAGTAGCTGGCACCTAGATAATTACCATTCTTGGCCGACCTTGCCACCGTCCGAGAAATTGTGGATTTTCCTGTCCCAGCCATCCCCTGCAACCAGAACATACTTTTCGAGGATGACGAAAAGGCCCACTCCGTTATTTCTTGGAGGAGCTCGGTTCTTGTGCCCGGGAGACATTCGACTTCGTCACGATCGGAGAATGACTCGAATCCTGCATCTATTGCGCCCTCTAACTTTCCAAGGTCAACATATTGATTAATCCGAACCGTATTTTCGGCCATACTAATCATCAGGGAACTATACGGTCCTTCAGTCAACTATAGAGAGTCAGAGAATCATACTCGAGATACGTACGTCTGGTCCACCTGTAAAGATAAGAGGAATGATGACTTATATCTCTCCAGGCTCTTTGTTAGGCCCTCCACCTCCGCACGTTTTAACGGCCATTTTAATGCCCGTAAGCCTATTTTCCTCATCAAAGTTTTCCCCTTTCCTGGATCAAGTCTCGCTTCTAATGCTTGGAGTTCGGAGAGGCAAGTAGTAATATCGCTGGGTAATCGTGAGGACGTAGATAGGCCTTTTGCCTTATTCTCTTGCAGATTGTTCTGCAGATCTTGAAGTGTATCTTGAAGACCTGTCATAGCCCGCTGTAGGGTGAGAATTTCTTCCCGTGCATTTCCTACCTCTTGGATATAGCCCCCGCAAAGCTTCATGAGGCTTCCAGTCAGTTGAATAACGGCGATAACGCTCGCCGCGGAGGATAGACCATCCATTTTGAGGGACACACAATAAACATCAGGGCTTCTCGCAGATGAGTATGATAGCGGTCTAAGAGTAAGAAAGTGGGTTCAAAGATATGTTGGGCATTTCTAGCGAGCAAAAGCGGGGTATGTCATCTCATCTCCCGCTGATGAGGCTGTGAAGGTCCATGCACCACATAAGCATTTATGACTAATTATACTTTTTCATAGTCAGCAAAAGCTATGACTGGCCGAACGGGTGCTGGTGGTCGGTCGACTCTCGGCCCGAACCGACCCAGGCCTGTGCCTGTCCTGGCCACCTCGTCAACTCATAACAGCACGACACGACCATTATGGCGCCACGACTTGCTCCTTCGCAGCTAGTTATGATCCGTGATATGATCAGCAGCAAATCGCTAACTACTTCTCAAATGGCGGAAGCGGCAGGTTGCAGCAAACGTTCGATCATAACGATTAGTGCCAACCTCCGTATGTTTGGCGATGTCCGAGCGCCCTTGATCCCCGGCGGCCGTCCTCGCATCATATCACCCGTTATGCTTGAAGCGCTATGCGACCACCTGCTAGAAAAACCGGATTTATACCTCGATGAGATGGCGGAGTTTTTGTACGATGAATTCGACGTGCTTGCTTCCACGTATACTATCAGCCGAGCTCTTCGATCGCAGGGTTGGACCAAAAAAGTGGCTCGACGAGTAGCACAGGAGAGAAACGCAGATCTGAGAGACTATTATTTGCACCAACTGTCAGAGTTCCGCTCGTATCACTTGGTCTTTATCGATGAATCAGGTTATGACAAACGGGCTGGCTTCAGGAGGACAGGCTGGTCTCCCCGCGGTGTGGCACCTGTCCAGGTGTCCCATTTCCAGCGGGGTCAGCGATACCAGATTCTCCCAGCATACTGCCAGGATGGTATTTTGATGTCGCGAGTCTTCCAAGGATCGACTGATGCAAATCTCTTCCAGGATTTTGTTGAGCAGCTTCTTCACCATTGTGGTAGATGGCCTGAACCGAAATCTGTTCTCATCATGGACAACGCATCCTTTCACCATACTGACCGAATAACGGAGTTATGTTCAAATTCCGGAGTAAAGCTGTTGTACTTACCACCATATTCACCTGATTTAAACCCCATCGAAGAATTCTTTGCAGAGCTCAAAGCGTTCGTGAGACGAGAATGGCAGAAGCATGCAGGTCAAGGTTTCAAAGAATTCCTTGAATGGAGCCTGGACACCGTGGGGTCTAGAGAAGACAGTGCGCAAGGCCATTTTCGACATGCGAACATTGAAGTTGAGGAAGAATAATTAAACATATTTTTAAGCTCAGTGTCTTTACAGCATTAAGTTTAGTTTTAAGGTTTTCTTGAAATATGGCCCCTTGGTATGCTAAGATCATCACTGAACCATATCAGCTTGTGAAAGAGAGTATGAGTATGCATGGTGTTTTGTTTATGACTCCTTGCCGGGAGATCAGTCATGCCATGATAGTGGCAGGCGAGGGTTTATGACGTCATGTAACAAAGTCCATTCAATTGCACCCATTTCTTATAGTAGCGTCTTGGCAGTGGGTCCCATACTAAAGAAGAGAGTCCGTGGCGGTGAAGCTGGTATTGCAGCTCCCTGTAATAGTGTGCGTCGGGAACGAGGCCTTAGGAAAGGAAGGAGAGTAAATGTGACACCGTTTCCCGAAAATCCTGTATCGAGCCTTCTTTCAGACAAAGGTCAAGTCCGGTCATGGTTGCTTCGGCAAGTGTATGTAATTGACTGATTTAGGGCATATAAATATCCAGCAAGACATCCCGCTGATAGTCGTCAATGGTCCCTAATTATTAGCCGAACTCCACCCACGCCAAATGACTTGGAATGCATTACACTAACGCAACACGTATATGAGTATGGGAAACTCCAGATTGATTTTTGTGGTAGAATACTCGTGTAATACAAATCTATCTTATAGCATCACCAACAGACGCGACTTCCAAGTATTTCCAAATATTGGTGATCCAATTGAGTAGGCAATATGCCGGCGTGAAAGGAACATGTCTCAAGCATGGTTGCATTTGGACTCTCTCAGCTCGGCCTGTTTTGCATTGTCGGCTTGACCGTCGATTCTCAGGAGCGCCGAGCACCTCATTAAACGATATTAAGATATTTTGTATCGTGAAGGGCTTCTATCATAAACTGGGTGATACCTTCCTCTCTGTTGCTAATTTAATCGCCGACAGAATCACTGTTAAGATCATTTTATGGATCATTGCCTGACTCAGTGATCGTTGTAGGTACGGAAGTGGTGTTGAGAAAAAGTCGAAGAATGTTAATCATTTAAACTTTAAATTTTAAGGATGTGCACATCCACACCAAGATGAAAAGGGAAGGTCAATATCCTCTATAGCATACGACATTGATCATTTTGGCGTATCCCAAACCTCGATTATATTTCTGTTTGGAATTACCCACGACCTTTTTTTTTTTTTTTTTTTTTTTTTTCAATTTAGTCCGAACAGGTCCACGATAGCAAAGCAGAATACAAGTGGCACAACAAACACGAATGCAGGATGATGTAGAGGACTGCAACAGAAATAAAACGGCAATTCAATGGAGAAAGCTTGCGCTTCTCAATGTCCCCTTGCCGATCGGGGGAGTCTTGGGTTTTCTCGCCAATGTGCTACTCGCTGTTGACGAGTGACCCCATGAAGCTGTTCCAACGCCTCTTCTGGATCATTTGCCCCTGGGAAAAGACTCTCTGCTATCATGGTATCAGCCACTTTACCGCCAAGAAGCAGTTTGACGTTTGTGCGTGCTCCAACTCTCGCGATAAGTTGTTCTCCCTCATGATAGACAACACGGCACATAATCTCGGGTAGTCTCTGGCTGTATGGATTCCAACTTCCAGGAACAGCCCACGAAATGTGAATTGACATGGGGTCAACACGACCTCTCAATTCTTTCCAACCGTCTGTTTCAATCGGCTGGACGATGTCGAGAGCAAGGGCGTTATTGATGACTGCACTGCCT